CCAAATATAACTCTGACTTGTATTGACTACTGTGTTTTTCATACAGGATGCACTAAACATTCCAAATAACTTTCAGAAGCAGAACAGCTGTGGTACTTATGACCTCCTTAACAAAGGGAAGCAGTTGTCCTTTGCCAGTTGTAGATATGTGGGATGAACAGTACTCCCTATGTAATGGTTACTGGGAGAAGCTAGTCTTGTGTTCCTATGGTGAACCTATATACAATAGCAGGATCTATTTTGAATTATGATTTAATGTTTTGCTATAAATAAATTAGGAAAAATAAAGGCATGGATGATAAGATCAGGAAAGTGTCTAGAGGCCAGCAGGGCCATAGTTCTTCCCTGCGTAGAACTTTCCATCATTGCATAACTTTATCTTATCTCTTTTCTAAAAGGCATATGGTTGTAAATGTTCTTACTTTAGTAGCAACATTTCATTCAGATAAATGCAAATATAACTACCATAAAACATATTTTGAAAAATGTGCCCTCAAAACCACGAATGGGGGAAGGGGCTATAAAGCCACATTCTTGTGGCATTAAAACCTATATCACATCATGTAAGAGAGGTTAATTTTCCAAGCAGCATGAAATTGTTTCTGAAGAAGCTGATTTACAACAATGTGTTTGGTGTTGATTGAGAAGATGGGGCAGGTAGTGAGCAGTGAGTGAGAAACAGTTTAGAATCATTGCTGGACAGCCAAAATGTACCACTACAGTTTACACAGTTGTGGGTTCACAGTTCAGACTGGAGAGAGGATATATGAATGTAGATGAGGATCTAAAATGGAGGTATTAACGAGCATAGAGTACATATGAAATAAATCATATTGCATTGAGGGTAGGAGTAAGTGCAAATGAAAGAAAAAAATGTGGAGCTTATTATTTCTAGAAAGATTTTTGTGTCTCTTAGTATATAGTGTAACTAAGATAATAGATTCTTTAATTCTCCACATAGAAAAAAAATGTTTCTTTACCTTCCCCCTCTAATCATAATGTAAAAAAGTCAGAGCTATCTTAAAGCCTTCTCAAACTTTCAATGCTTCACAATAATGAGAAACCATATGCTGAAGAAGAAATATTAATAGAAAATGCTGTCTTTCAGATGCTCACTGAATCAATTGAAGGCAGTTGACACGTCTTTAGTAAGCTGTGTATGAATCTTAGCTCATTAACCACTCCTGTATTATGTATGCTGATTCTAATTCCTAATATGACACATCAATAAACCAGATCTGAAAAGGTGTCATTTCGATTTTAATGTATCCAATTGTATTTTTAGATGTTCCCCCACTTAGAAGTGTTTGTGATATTTCCTGATTTTACAAGCTATGGAAGAGTGGGTGTGGTATTGATTTGAATGGGAAAACACTGCTTTCCTATAACCTTTCAAAAGATTTTGTTCTGATTAGGTTTTAAGAAAAATAAATTGTTTCATCTTAACAATATTTCAGCCCTTTCTAAGCCATTGTAGTTTCCCCTCTAGAATAATAGCATTGCTTACCCACAAATATGCATGTATGACTCTCCAATTGTCTGATTGCTCAAGTATGTGTGCAAATAGAAAAAGGAAAATATGCCTATAAAATATTTTTATGTAGAATGTTTCTTATAGGCAGACTGAGAAGCCACCATATATTTTATAAAGGTTCTGATGCATAACATCTCACCAATCAGATCATCAATTTCTCAGTCCATCACCAAGTATTTAGGGACTTGTGTAATGGCAAGCTACCTTAGCAATTGTATTTTCATGAACTGATACCAACTCAGTTCAAGAATTAGCAACTGCATTTTGAATGCTGGCTATAACCAAGTAGTATGCTAAGTGCTAGAAACAAAAGTAGAATTAAACTCAGCATGAACTTCAAAAAAAGGTATGGGGGGGGGTGAAAACTTTCAGAGAATTTAGTTTTACCAGTCATTGTGCTATGTACATTACGTACTATCTTGTGAATTCCATAAATGTTATTCAAGGAGAATAAGAAAGATGTCCAAGACCACATAGCTAATAAAAAGCTGTTACAGAATTTAAACTGAGGTCAATCTATTCCAATCATTGCTCATGTCTTTCATTCATTTACTAATTCATGTTTTGTTCTTTCAATCTACTGTCTACCAGAATAAAAGCAACTCAGCTTTATAGGAAGATTCCCTCTTTAATGGGGGAAATGGATAGGAATACAAGTAATGGAAATACCATGTGAAGTATTGCATAAGAAAAATGTTCTAAAAGCAAAGGAACACAGCAAAGGGAGAGCTAACTTTGTTCAGGAAAGCTAACAATTCTTTTACCTGGTGGCTTAACAGACTTGATGATGTTTTAATTCCTGCTTGAGCATCATGTTTGTGACCTTGAAATTCAATTATTCCAATTGAGCAATGCTCAACCTTTTTTTAAACTCACTCTGACTGGATCATATGTTCCCCAAAACTAAGGTTTGCTGAATGTAGCCATTTAGATCACTCCCCACTTACTGTCTGTCAAGTTTAATTTAAGGCTGCTACTTTCTGCAGCCCTGAATGTCAACCTGTCCCTTTTCTGGAGATTCTGAAATTGACCTGATTATAGTCAGAAATTTCAGTGAAACTAAAAAGGTTTCCTCTTCTCCCCTCCTTTCTTCTTTCTACTGTTCCTAATAACATCTTCATTGCTTAAACCAAATGTTTCACCAGATCCTCAAGTAAAATGCATTTCTAGAATCATGCCAAACTTCAAAAGTATCTACCTCTTGAAAAAAAAATACACCTAAACACTCACATCAGAGGGTTAAATACAAGGTATCTAACACTACTAATAGCTCTGTTCTGAGTCACTATATCAGCTTCACTCTCATCTTTTAAAAAATATCTATATTGACTTTTTAAATAGCTTTTTCTGAGTTTAAGGTATCCCATAGGCCCCAAGTAGTCCTGCAAAGCATCACATTTTCTTACCATCATTAAATAACCAGGGGGCTCACTACTTTTTGGCAGAAAAGATTACATCTGGTGTGGGCTATGATGTTGCAGCATCTTGTTTTTTTTTTTTTTTCTTTTTCTTCCCCTTTGTTTCTTTCATTTGCAGTTGTCCAAGCCATATTATGTTGGAACTCTTCTAAGAATAACTGCAATTTTGAAAGCTTTGACTGTGGGAGGCATTATTTATAGACCCTTGTGGTTTTAGAAGGAAAAAGAAAAATCTTCCAGGCAGAGTTCTACTAGGAAGACTGCTCTCACCCCTCTTTAGCCAAATACTATCTTCAGCAGGACATTTTCCTACAATTCCTTATAAAAAGTTTCTTTTGAAACATCTTGCTAAGAAAACTGGCAGTTTCTAAACTAATTCTTTCTTACCCTAGTAAATAAAATTTATATACCAACTAACAGAAGATTAGAAATTGGGCTATTGAAGTACATCTTATTAGGAACCATGTTTACTCTTAGTATTCAAGAACCATCTGCAAAGGTTTTTGTACACAAAATCACAGAATCCCAGGTCTCACTGCCCCACAGTGAGGAATGTTCCTTCTGGCAGTGTGCATTCTTCATAGTCTCCATTCTCAAGGTCATTTCCTGGTATACCAATTCCATATACATTCTCAGAAGCATAAAGAAGAAAAGTTTAAAAGTTTAAATAAATCAGCTCTGGACACTCCTCAGGAGTCCTACATAATGCTTTAACTCAACTTTCATTGGCCAGACTTGGTCACATGGCCACACCAGTTGCCAAAAATTCTGGGAAATTAGCCTTTTTGCTGATATGTTGCCATCCTCTCCACAATGGGATTGTTATGCAAAGGGAGATAAGAGTGGATATTGGGTGGGGGATTAACTTACATATATTTCCATATATATCTCTTCCAGCAGTGACCTCTTTAGAATTATAAGGAGCTCTGTGTTAGAAGTTAAAGATAAAATATACATCAGAAAGATAACAAATCAATGTTCTAAAGTGTTTAAGTGCAATAAATAATTACACCTCAAAATGGTAAGGTCCTGACTAAGACCATGGCAAGACAAAGTTTTTAGGGTGCTAAGTAAATAACTTCTTAATTTTTCTTCCATGCAAAAGGAACAAAATGAGGAAAAACAATACATGTGGTATGCAGTTTTGAACAACTTCCTATTTTTAAAAATGCATAAGGCCAATTATTATGCTTTTTGGAGTTTTGTATTTTGCAACCTCCTTATTTTGTAGCAAACCCAAAATGCATCAGGAGAAAAGATAGCATAGAAGTAATTTTTTTAAAAAATTCTTTGTTTTATATGTCCTTATGTATTAGCTTCCCACTGCTGGTATGCCAATAGTACAAACTCTGTGGCTTAAAAGAGTACAAACTTATCTTACATTCCTGGAGACTAGACATCTGAAATCAGTTTCACAGGGAAAAACTCAAGATGGTGGCAGGGCTGCATTCTTCTGGAGGCTCTGTTTCCTTGCCTTTTCCAGCATTTAGAGGCTGTTGTCCCTCATTAGCCCAGGCTCCCATCACATAGCCCTTCTCCTGTGATTCCACTGTCATATCACCTTCTCTCTTTGAGTCCCATCCTCTTTCTTCCCTTTGATAAGAACCTTTTAGATTACACTGGACCCACTATAATAATCCAGAAAAGTCTTCCCACCTCAATCCCTAGCTTGATCACATCTGCAAAGTCTTTTTTTTTTTTTTTTCCTGGGTGAAGTAACATAGTCACAGGTTCCAGGGATTAAAATGTTGATGCCACAATTTGTCCTTTTACACCTTATAAAATAGGAAATTGAAGAAAACAATTCAATACTTGACTTAAGGAAGGTTGTGTCAAAGTCACAGTGTCACTGCTTTCTTACCACCATGGTCTAATTCATATAATCAAGGTAAACTCCATAACAACTTGGTGAAGAACACACTTTCCCTTTGGTTACTGATAGTACTTTAAGTTGTTAAGTCTTAGTTAAAATTTTCCTCAGTAAATTATCTCATGTACCTATGAAATCATTTCTAACCTTTTTATTTATTTGTTTATTTGTTTTTTAGAAAAGCCAGACAATAACACAAGAATTGAAACTATAAAGTCTCTTGTACAAAAACTCCCTCCACCAAATCGTGACACCATGAAAGCCCTCTTTGGACATCTAACTAAGTAAGTTGTAAGGGTTTCTGGGTATGTTGAATTATAATAATTATGAAATAAGCAACACTTAACTTTAAATTTCTAAGACTAGATTTTTCGATACTACCTTCTCATATTTTCCCCTCTAGCTGACCTAAGACTTCCTGTAAAAACTGAAAAATGTACTAGAGATAGGAAGGAGAACTTACAAAAGGAGCTTCTGAAAAAAATTATTTTTCCTTTGGACTTTTCAACAAGTAGGTAGATGTTTGCTGACTGTCAGAACCATTGCCAGGTCCCTGAGATAATCCATCTTTGACTTTGCTATCTAATGTGATGGGAAGAGCATGAAATGATTCAGACATGCATTCAAAACCCATCATACAACAAGTGCTATGACCACAAATAAGTTAAACTCTCTGAAATCCAGTGTCCTCATCTGTAAAATGTAGGTTCCAATGAATAAGGTATTATTCATGTAAACAGTAAGGAGGAGAGCATTCCAGGTGGAGAAAAGCAAATAATAAGATCCATAGGTCCCAAAGAGCTGGATGCATTTGAAAAGCAGAAAGTAGGCCTAGATGGCCAGCACCTGGTAAGCAATACGGGTGGAGGACAGGAGCTGAAGTTCTAAACATTATACAGCATCAGGTCACAGGTCTCATTGGTCACATGTGAACCAATGAAAGATCTGGCTTCTGTTCTAAAAACAAGGAAGAACGACTGGAGAGTGATAAATTCAAGGAGTATAAAAGATCCCTCAAACAGCTGAATGGAAAATGGATTGCAAATGTGAAAGCAGGGAGATCTAATAACAGGCAGCCATCATAGGCCAAGTAGGAGACAGGGATGCCTTGAATAAAGCCCTCAGAACGATATGAGTAAAGAGATTTTGGAGGTAGGTCAAGATGGGTTTGCTGTTGTTTGGGGTAAGGAAAAGAGAAATCAGGTGGGTTTCTGCTTTGGCAAGTGAAGAAATGATAATGATACATACAGAGATGGGTAAACTGGGGGAGGAACAGGAAGAGTAGGTTTGAGAGGTCCATTTTGTACAAGTTAAGTCTGAAATGACTGTTACTCATTTGCCTTCTGTTAACACCTTCTTCAGATAAGGCACAGTGCAATACAAGTTATGAGATTTTAGCTTTCACTGTATATACATAGTAATTGTGAAGCATTTTTCACAGAATAGTGATCCAAAATAGCAGTTTTGCTTTTGTAAGATTAAATCTCCTGAATCACCTCAATTATCCATTCCTTAGGATGAGTCATTCCTACACATTGTTCAACTAATGCATGTCATGATTTTTAATTGTGAATGTAATACATGCAACTGCACACACAAAAAATTAAGCAACAGCAATGCATACACATTAAAAAGTGAAATTTGCCTACAAGTCATTCTGAGCCTGCTGAGCAGAAGTAACTAACACTTTTTTTATGCATCCTTCCAGACCTGTTTCAAAGCACATGCAACCATATGTGTGTGTGGTTGCTTCTGGTGTTAAAGTACATATACTGCACATACGGTTCTGCAATTATTTTGCAAATCATGGACAACCTTCCATTTCATTAAATAGACTCTTCTTATTCATTTTAATGATGGCATAGTATTCCAACGTATGGGTAGTCCATAACTTGCCAAACCAATTCTTGAGTTAGGGAACAGGTTTTAAACACATGCATCATATTATTCTCTTATTTTACTCTCAGAGGGGAACATTATCTCAAAGTTTAAAACCTCCTTATTATTATTACCCTTGTTATCCCTTCTTACGCCTCCACATGCTGGCTACAGTGGGAAACTCAGTGAATTTCAGTGAAAGGATCTTGGGTTTCAAAGAAATAGAAAGAGAATGAGAGACCTAGACTCAAAGCCTTGTTCTGTACTTTACTCCTGTTATGATCTCAGGCAAGTAAAATCAGATTAAATAATATCAACCATATCTTGTGGTTATGAGAATTAAATGAGATAATGCATATAAAATGCATGGCACAAGGTAAGCATTCTTCAGATGTTAATTCTTTTTCCCTCGGGATTTTTACACATCATGAAAAGGGTTTCAAGTTACAAGTAAATACTGGAGTGCTTATCTCGGTAACTCTAACTGGACCAAGTCATAAAACAAATGGAAAAGTATACTCTTTAATGCTATGCAATACCTAGTCTGAGAGTTCTTGAGAAATATCCATTACTCAGTCTCAATCACTCCTTTTTATTTTTCAACTCAAAGAACAGCTATAAAATGAAGAAACTAAGAGTCAGCTAAATGTTCCTTTAGGGGAGAAAAAAAAAAAACCTCACAGAGATGAGGATCTATTTAGTAAAAAACCTTGAAAAGTTGAGACTCCTCCATATCATGCCACACAGTCCCCGTAATAACAGTTAAAGCTTGTTTGTTATATCTAAATGAATTTCCTAACTTTTGTAGAAATTTCATCTATTTCAATAGCGATGAAAATAGATATTTTAAACTAAGATTTAATATCAGATTATTATATCATTTCAAAGCATTCTAATTTTAATATTTTTTTAATTTTACACGGGGGAAAAATGTATTATTTTCCAGCCACCAACCTTTCTTGGGTGGTGTGACCATATTCCACCCTGCACTGATTTATATAAACTGGGTTTAATTATGCACAAGTATGTGCACATGATTCTATCTTGTTAAGCATTTTTTGCTAAGTTTTTGATGAACAGCCAATCGTGGCATGTCATCAAAGCTTGAGAAGACTAAATAAGAAGATTGTTTAACTAGAATTTAAATATATTCATGTTTGAAAGAATCATTAGAATGTTTTCCTTAGTCTTGATGCATTTGGTAGTTCTTCAGAAAATCTCCCATCAACACTTGTATGTAGTGTTTATTCCAAATTGTTGCAAACATATATATTTTGAAGTTTGTTTAGTGAGGGTCAGGGAATGTAATGAAGTGCCAAAAATTCCACTTGACCTACGTACTCTACAGTCAACAGAACAGAGTTCCATTTTTGCAGAGCTCTGAGTTAAATGTTCTCCCCAAAGCAGAGCAGCTACTGCCTGGGAAAGATTAATATGGCTCAGTTAGACTGGGAGACAGATGTAAATCTTATCCACCAAAGCCAGAATATTTAAAGAGCCGTGATTATATTAAGTGTAGAATTGTAAAATGGCTGCTCAGACCCAATGGTGGCAAGTTCAGAGTTCCCATTTTTAATGGCACTCAAGTCAAGACTTCTACTGTTGTACCTTGATATTAGGAATTCAGAATAAATTCTCATCTCTAAATGTCACCAGTTTGAAATCTTTATTAATGGTGACTTTCACAAATTGACATTACAGTTCTAGGCCCTGGAAATGTCTGTGGTGACTTCTGAATCATCGTATATATGGCAATTTTGATCTTTATAAAATACATCACATGCATTTTCCTACTTCATTGGGAAGGTTGTAGAGAGAAGATAAACTAATGAAAGGAGAGCGTAGAACAATGGTTGACTTGCTAATGGGTTGGAGGCTGTGAGCCAGTTAAAGGAATCAAGAAACAGGGAATCACTTAGTAAAACTTGGTGCACTAGACAATTGCACGCTGTACTTACTGTTTATGAAAAAGTTATCTAATAATATTTTAGACTGAAAGAAATAGGAGGAAAGAAACTCAAAGAAGTCCCATAGAAGTTTTAGTTAAATCAAGTCATAGAAATCAAATGGAAAGAAATGGTCCCAATCTTGAGATTTTTCCAAAGTAAAGAACACATCATTTTTCTTTCTCTCACTTCTGTATCCCCAATATCCTGTTAGTTATGGAGATAAGCCTAAAGTTTCAATGCTGGATAATTGTTAAAATAGTCCCCAGATGGTAATTAAAAAAATAAAGAGATATTGTTTAGGAAGTGCTCCTATTCTTAGTTTGCAAGTGTAAACAAGGGAAAAAAGATTATCAGATTATAGAAAATTAATAAGATAGGTGAATCTATTTTGACAAGTGTGTATTGGATCAAATCTTCTATGTACTGGTGGAATCTATCAGCAAGCATACTAGGAAAGTAATCTAGGTAATGTATCTTAAAGATGAAGACCTTCACATCTTTATGTGATTTGAACCAGTGATCTTCATCTCTCTATTTTATACTAAGTAACAGAGGAGGAAAGTGTTTGCAGAGAAATTATTATGACAATTTTGTTGACTGGGTAGAAACTTGGGAATAATGTAAGTGTTCAGTGACAGGGGAAGGGTTATATAGAACATGATACACCATGTTGGTTTAGTGACATGTAATTCATGGCTTTTTAATTGAATGTGGAAAAACACATATATTAAGATGAATAAAATCATGAATACAATATTTTATCTACTCAGTAAAAATATAAATATGTAGAAGAAACTGTGCATATGGAAAAGGCTGTGAAATTATTTGCTGAAATGTTAACATTTCTTTCTTTGAGTCTTTGAATTATGCTATTTTTTTCATGTGTTTCATTTTTTTCCTCTATCAACAGTATAAAAGGAGACATTGAGGTTAAGGAAGCAAGGAAAACAGGCTTTGGAGTTAGGCAGGCCTGAATGTGAGCCTTGGCTCTGCCATTTACTAGAAGTATAAGCTTGGCCAGGTCATGCAAAGCTAAGCTTCCATATTCTCACTTGTGAAATGGAGATTATAAAAGAACCCATTCCCATGGTGAGGAGTAGGTGAATAATGCTTTCAAAGGTCTTGCACAGTACCTACCACATGTCAGTACTAAGTAAGCACAATACACCCACATCTCTTATTCTTATCATAAGAGAAGTATAAAATAATTTTTAATGAAACAAATATAAGAAGAATTGCTGAGGAAGTAAAATAACTATCAAATTTACTATCTTCCAAAAAGTCTTTCCCCTACTTCCAAAGCTTTTTCCAGAATCTTAGTTTCCTCACTAGCCCAGTCATTTTCCAGAGACCCATCCAGGCTGTTTTCATATGTCCAACAAGCCACAAGACACCCTGGTCATCATGTCCAACCCCAACCCTGCTCTGTCATTGAGTCCCTATCAATTGGGCTAGCA